ATCCGCGTGAAGAGGTTGGACTTGCAAATGGCTCCGCTCCTGTTGCATAGCCCGTTTGCGTGGCCGGCACGATTTCTCTGGGGGAACCAGTCGCCTCATCGTGGGCGCTGGGTTGGAAGAGTTTTGGGGGGAGGGGTCGCGTGAGCCGTTGGCGCAAACGCTTCCGACCTTTTAAAAAAAAAAAAAAGGCGAAATGGTCCCCGCCTACGACTCGTCCCTGCCCCTTGGGGAGGCAGGTGGGGAAGCGGTGAAGAGAGAGGCTGGTGTAAACAGGAGGGTTCGTTTTCGGCAGAAATCGAGCTGGGGTTTAGGGGGCAGGCTGGCTGCTCGCTGCTGGAGCTGGCTTCACGGGCTGGGCCCTGCTGGCTGTAAACCAGCGACCGCCGGCCCTGAACATGGTGCCTGTAGCTGTCCTGTTGGATGCGCAACGTGTTTGCCCCGCAGAGTAACCCATTCCAGCGGCACCCTCCCTTCGGACACATTCAGCGGCTCCTCCTTTCCCTCCCTCCTGTTCACCCTTGAGACAAAGCCTGCCAGGACTTGCATTGCCCCCTTTTTTGGCTCAGTCTAGCTGTGTCGAAGCTGCTCCTGCCTTCCCTCGGCGATCCTGGCAATTCAGCTCCACGTCGGTTCCTTCCTTCCTCCCATCTTCCCTTTGTGGGTGCCCGGCGAACGGACACATTCAGCGGCTCCTCCTTTCCCTCCCTCCTGTTCACCCTTGAGACAAAGCCTGCCAGGACTTGCATTGCCCCCTTTTTTGGCTCAGTCTAGCTGTGTCGAAGCTGCTCCTGCCTTCCCTCGGCGATCCTGGCAATTCAGCTCCACGTCGGTTCCTTCCTTCCTCCCATCTTCCCTTTGTGGGTGCCCGGCGAAAATAACCCACTGCGGGGGGAGGGGTATCAGCGACATTCCTGCGCTAGCTGGATTCTCGGCTCCGAAACCCAGCACAGGGGGAGGGTCCCGGAGCCGAGGCGCCAGCCCTGGTGGGAAGTGTCTGGTTTTTGGTTTTTAAGCCCCATAGCACAAGCTGTGGTCAGTTGCCCCATCGGCTCTCGGATTCGCTGCGCCGGGGCTTTTTGCATGAAGGTGTCCCCTTGCCTTGCTGGTGTGGTCGTGAGTGGAAGTTCTTTCCTGCTGGTCTCGCTAGCCAGAGCCCTGTCCTACGTAGCTGCCGCCGGGCTCAGTAACATCATCTCCAAGGAGCCGGGGATGGCGCACAAAGGGGTTGGCGGTGACTTCAGGGCAGCGGCAGGCAGGCGAGGCGAGCGGGCCTCCGTGGGCTGCAAGATTCTCGTACCCAAGACGGTCTCCCAGGCTAGGGCAGTTTTGCTCCCTGCACTTGTGTACCTAGACTTTGCGGTGGGTGCCGATTGGTTGCCGAGGGAACACGTGACTCTTGGTCAATATTGGTGCCATCGGCACGCACCTCCTTTCGTGGCTCTGGCTTGACATGTGTGTCACTGGGAGGAAAGAAGCGTGATTGGGATTGGTTCTGCCTTGGGCAGGGGGCTGGACTTGACGGTCTTCTAAGGTCTCTTCCATCTCTATAGTTCTATGGTGATCTGGCAACCGTATGGTGATGGGTAACAGTGCCCAAAAGGTTTCATGGCCCTGCACAAAACCCTGAAGGGCTACAGGCTGCCCAGCCTGCTTTATACAGCTTCCAAACTTAGGAACTGTAAACCTCCTGTCTTCCGTTTGGCTCAGCCCTGCATTCAGAAAGCTCCATACAAAATTCCATACACCCCGGCTGCTGTAGCTCCCTAAATCCTACACGGATTCTAACAGCGGCCCAGCTGTGCACCATACACTGGCTTAGGCTGAAGCTGTTGCGGAGACGCGTTAGAAGTCGTATGGACGTCAACTTGATCAGATTAAAACTGCCCCCAGTAATCTGCTCTGGGTACTAAACGCTAAACAGAAATCTGATCTTCTGCAAGGTGCATGGAGCAACACCGACGAGGAAGGTCGTACAAGTTTTTCCGTTTGAAGGCATTGCCTTCAGAGTCTCATAATTCATCCAGTTTCTTTCCTTTTTTAGCTGAAATACAGGGGGACTGACAGCTGGGCCCCTGGCCAAGGTGGAAGGGGGCCAGTTCCATGCTCCCAGAAGGGGCGAGGCTGGGGGCAGCCAGCCCTCAGGGCTGCCTGGAGCATGCAATGCAGTGCTCCGGAGGTGATTTAAAGGACCCAGGGCTCCCGCCACTGCTCCAGTAGTTATGGCAGCAGCTGGAGCCCCCCAGCCCTTTTGAATCCCCCCCCCCCGTTGGTGGGCCTGCTGAAACGTGGCAATTTAGCAATCCCAGAAGTGACGGCTTTGTAAAGTTTGAGCAAAAACAGCCCACCCCTGGGAGGACGCACCTTTCCCGTTTCTATGAAGCTTTTTACGTCTCATTTTCAAAGCACTTCAGTGGCTTGAGAGCGAAACGTGAGATCTGGCTTGTGCCGTTCGAGCTGGTGGGAATTCCATTGCAACTTGTGAAAACTATAGAAAGGTTTTTAAAGAAGGGCGTCTGGAACGTACATATTCTACCTGCATTCTTTTTGCTTGGGTGGTGTCAATAGTTTCAGTGCCTTTTTGTGAAAAGGTTTCGAGTGTTGTGTGTTTAATTCTTTGTAGTTCAGCTTCTTGGCTCAGGGCTTTAAAATTTAAAATAATGCAAGTATTAGAACGCCCCTTCCGGTTTTGCTCTGTCTATAGTCTAACTAGACCTAAAACAAATGCCTGTACTTAAGTTTGTTCTGTTGGGTGTGGTCTAATGTTTACAGCTCTTACTGCTTGGATTTTTAAAAAGCATACACAGGAAACTAAAACGGTGGCAGAAGTCTAGGAGAGCACATGGGGCCGGCGACGCAAACTGCTGCTTAGCCTGATCCCTAATCAGAGAATTCTTCATTTGCCATGGAAGGGAGACCTTTTAAAAGTGGCTTTCTAAGCAGCATCTCTGAAGGTCAGTGAAGGTTTTAGTTTCCGTGGGAAGACCTTGAACTTGCCAATCCTTTTAACAAGCTGCAGTTCACTTGCTGATCGCAACAAGCATCACTTGTTTGGCCCTTTCTTCCATCTTGCTTACCTCACATCGACGAGACGTTTTAATGGGCAGAGGAAAGCAAAGCTGCTCTTCCCTTTGTGTTGGGGATCGATCTGCCTCCTTTGCCAACGCAAAAAGATGTTCCCAGATGCATGTATCCACTTTGTCCTGTATTAGGCTTGGGGTGGGTTTGTCTCCGAGGATCACAAGGGACCATTGTGAT